ACGGCCTCTGGCCGAGCGGCCTCTCCGGGGCCAGCCCCGCGCCGCGCAGGGACGGCCACCCGGCGCGGGAGGAGGCTGCTGGGCGCCGGCCCGGAGGGGTGCGGGATGCTGCCCCGCAGAGGGGGCGACAGGGAGGCTCCCTGGCATCCCCATCACGGCCTGGCCGCCGTCCTTTGGCAGGTAGCGCCCGGCCCAGGCGCTGACCCCAGGCCTCTCTGCTCACAACCATATTTGCACAAACGCCTACTCAACGCATGAGCGGCTCCGGAGAAGCCTGGGCCAAAAAGGCTTATTTTAAGCTTGCTGGAAAAGAACATTGTTTGGTGGGAATTATAACTCCCCATTCTCAAAAAAGGGAAAAACAAAAAGTGCTTAATTCTGCCGACTCCTTGAGTTACATAAACACAGAGACATGTCCCGTCTGGAGAGGGAGGCCAGGAATTCGTTACTGGCACCGAGCGGAGGTCGGCACCCTCCGTCCTCCCCGTGCCCTCCTCCGGGCATCGGTCAGTGGGACAGGGCCGGTCCCATCCCATGTCCCGTCCCACGACTGCTGCGGCGTCCCCGGGGTCCCCACGCTCGCCGGGAAGGGTTTTCCCACGGGAGGGCTGGGCGCTGCCGGCTGCCCTTGGCCTGCCCATCCCCTGGTTCTCATGCCTGGACGGACGGGGCAGGCCTGGGGGAGCAGGGTGGGCAGGGGCAGCAGGACCCCTGGGTCCTCACCGCTGGGGTGCTGCTGAGGAGATGCAGGCAGATGCGCCCTGCATCCTGGACCTGGGTTCTGTAAGGATAATATTATTTCCACCACCCTAACCCAGCTGTCTCTGCGGCACTTCTGCTTTTTTGAGAAGGGAGAAGGGAGATTCGTCATGCTCAGGTCTGTCCGAAGGTGGGAGCGTCCGGCACATCCTGCCGCGGCCCCGCCAGAGCATCCATCACCCGCCAGCGTTTACAGCACGTCACCTGTTACACGTTCCAGACACGCAGGTTTCTCCTGCCCGGCTTTTCTCCTGCCTTTTGTTTTCTTTTTCTTTCGGCTCTTGGAGACAGAGCAGCAGATGGAAAAAACCC